CGGGGCGTGGTGGGGTGGGGCAAGCCCGGGCCCTAAAAGGGATGGGAGGAGCGGCAAACAGAAGGCTCGCAGGATCCCAGAGACGTAAGTGTATGATTTATGACCCCCCGGCTACCCCCGGCGGGACGGGGCGGGGAGGGCAGGATCACCACATCAGGTACAAGCCGAGAGGTCCGTGACCCACCCACTCGCCCCGCCCCGGCCTGCCTAGAAGCCAAACAGTCCTGCCCGCCCGCCCACATGCCTGCAGGCCGGGGCCAGGCCAGCCCGACCCACGCACGGCTGTTCTGGTCAGCGGTTTGTCCGAGCGTCGCGGTTTGCGCCGGCTTGCGGTCTGCGCGGTCGGCGAGGAGAGGCCCGGGCCGGCGGCCGCCAGCGCGCCGAGACAGCGTCCAGCGTCCCCAGCTGCTCCCATACGGGTCCCCATCGGCTGTCGTGTACACATGCCACGGTCGGGGCGGAAAACGGTCCCATCAATCGTCGACTTTTAGATGAGTGGGAACATCATGTGTTGACCGTTTAGCACCGTGAAGCACCGACGAGCGTATGCTGACAGAGAAGGTAACTAGGCCACACGCGTGCACTGCGGTACAGTACACTCTAAAACCCTATGAACTTTTTTTTGTTCATGTCTTACTGAAGTGTGTAAGCATGCTCAGCTTACGCATTTTATAATACGCTAGTATGATCATACTGGGCGTTTCAGACTTAAGTAAACTGAGCAACAAGCAATAAACAAAAATGTTCAGAAGATTTTAGTCGGTACATAGTGTACTCTATATGTGCAGCCCCAATCATTTGTACCAACGACAATTCTCTGGAAACTGAGTTGTGAGACAGTCTCGCACCATTTTGTGCGAGGTAAAAAAACCTCACACCAAATGCTGCGAGGCAAACATACCTCACACCAAATGCTGCAAAATCCTCTGTGCCTCGCACAAATGAGTGTGAGATTAGTTTGGTCTCGCACCAATGATTCCCAGACGCTAACATTGGAATTAAGTTTGCGTGTAAAGAACCTAAAACATTTGGCATTCAAGGAACGAAAAATATTGCCGTCCCTTGTAGAATGCCAATCAATGACGTTGTTTTCCAATGAAAAAATATGTAACACTTTTACGAGTCAAGGCTAAGTTTCAATACTGTATTGAAAATTTAAATAAATTAAGATAGCATTTATCAAAAAGAAAAGCAGAGTGATAATGTTGCAACATAATTGTTCAATAGTACTGCCCACACCATATGGCTGAAAATACGGGGGAGGCCTATCACTC